ATTAAAATGGATCACCAGTGCCTGTATGCAGCTCACTGGTGACCAGTGAGCTGCAAACAGACAGATTTCAAATCCACTTCAGATTTTCCACTGTCACCAAGCCATAACCCAGGTGTTTCTTAAGAGCACAAGCTGAAATAACTCATAACTGAGCTCTCAGACACAGCAGCAAGAAAATACTGAAAGCTACATGCAAGAATGGGAACTCTGCAGAGCTATTTGCTTCACAGCGTAAACAAGTGGCTCCTCCCAATCTTTTGGGAGAGACTGCAAATGCCAAAAACTATTAATACCTGCCGAGAAAACCTTCCCAGATGCATGTTTTGAGAAATTCACATTTGCTGCTATCAGGAGTGTAGCACAAAGCTACAAAACTGCTAGAGGTCAGGGCCTCAGATCAGAGCTCCCCTACAGAGTGTGCAGTCAAGAAGAAACAGAATGGAATGGAGAAGAGCTGAGTAAGTTGTGAGCATGTTAAAAAACAAAACAAACAAAAAAACCCCACCCCACAACCTAGTCACAATGAATCTATAATTAAAGAAAACCCCATCAGTAAACACTCCAAGATAAGTCAGACTGCAGCTGAATTTTTACCCCCAGCCAGGCCAGGGTGTTTAGCAAAATTTCTCAGGCTTGTGAGGCCAGTCATAGCTGCAAAGCCACTGTGGGAAGCACCGACCCAGCAACAACTAGCATGAAAAGAGGCCATGCTCACAGCGCTTCCAGGCTTTCTGTCTGCAAAAGGCACGGGAATAGTTCTCTGCTTGGTTTACCAGCCTTAGCATCAGTGATGTGTCTTCCTAGAACCATGAGTACTTGCATAAACCAGGGCAAACCAGCTCTTTCTTGAAGTACACTTCACCCTGAATCATTCCCTTTCTATGGAAACAAAACCTTGTTTTATTACACCACCTGGAATCACAATCTTGTGCAACAGGACACATTTATGAGCCTCTCTTATGCTACCAAGTTGGTTCCCATCTGCAGTTTTCCAACATCCAGATACTGCCAGCTCCTTAAGTACAATTGCCACCTGTTTCACCCACCCCAAAGAAGCTCCCATTTTACTAAGCCTTACCTACTGCAAACACCACGCCAAGACTACAGCCTTCTACATCCGGCTGTCCTGCTGCTAGTCTCTTCTGGGTTTGCACCGTGATCCAGATCCACTGCTCTGTACTCATCTTAAGTGTTAGCTCAGCTGGAAACAGCCAGATAACTGCAGCACCTAAGGACTTGGTTCTAACCCACCTTGCCTGCACCATCCCAACAGTCATCATTGCTTCTCTGTAAGCAGAGACGCACTGCTGCTGACCAAGGCCATGAATCACTTCCTAACTCACTAATGCTGAGCACACAACTGGGTTCCTCAAGATTCATGCTTCTGTTGAGAGGATGAAAAACATCTGCTCTTCCCCAAAATGGAAAAGAAAAAGCTAGACTCCAAACTTACCATGTGGAGAAGGCACTGTATCCTGTAACACCCTATGCAGCCCAGCAGCTGCACGTCAGCAGAAACATCCTCCCTTGGAGGGCAATTTCTCTATACCATCTCCTGTGACACAGGCCACAAGCACAACACCAATGTACAAAGGGATGCACCTCTGCTTCCAACTGTGTTAAGAGAATCTGTCCTTGACTCCAGGCTAGAGATTTGTACCTGCTGAGCTGCTACTAAGAGAACCCCCAGTCCATTTCAGGCAAGGCAAGCTGGATTAGGAGAGACCTGCTATTTAAACTCTTGGAGGGAACATGGCTGGAAGGAGACTAACTAACCTAAGCAGTTGTGCTACAGGCCAGTGGCATGCTTACCTACAGGTAGTAGCAGCACCTGCCTTCATCAACAATACTAGAGATGGATGTCTAACAAACCTTAGTAAACTTGACCAAACATTAGTTTTTACCTCTGACCTCATTCAAATAGACAGGAACTGACATCTGATGTGAAAAGCCACATACCACAGTTACCATCACAGTGACAAGGCTTGTGCCTGTTCTCCAATTAATTTGCAATCCATAAACCAGAGCAGTAAGCTTGTAAACTGCTTTACAGATGTGATCATGACAGGTACACTAGAGTCAATCCTTGTTTGAGACATCTATGCAACTCTGCTCTCATCCCCCCCAACCAACTTCTTAAATTATCAGCAATATTGCTAAAAACTTATTTTCACACTGATGATAACCTGCCTTATCACACTGACTTGCCTGTGCTGATCTTTGTTCTGCTAAGGCTTTATTAAAGGCCCTGCTACAAAGAAAGTCAGGGTCCAGTCATATTACATCAGTTAAAGATTTCTGTCCTTCCTTACAAGCAGACTGCTCACATATGCAGCTAATTTCTCTTATAAATCAACATACATCCAGCTGCCAGGTAAGAAACTGGGGCACCCAGCAGCCTTTCCAATACTTCACCGCAGCTCAGTCTGAGGGTAAACGTTGTGCCATTAGTTACCAGTAGCTGTCCCAGCCTGCCACCCACTGGCCTCCAGGAATGTGATCTGTGCTGTGACTAATACTTTCCGAGTCAACACATTTCAGACGTTGAAGCTGACTGCAATGCACTCTACTGGCATAGCTGACACAAAACAGCTTCCTTCAGAGCAACGGTGTTTTTGGCAGAGACTGCTTTATAGCTACCATTTCTTGCAGCTATTGTAAATTAACTATAACTACAGTAACTGCATCAGTATGAAGCTATGATCACATCCACTCAAAGTCTTTTGCATGCTTTTAATCTGATCAGATTAATACCTTAATCCGAGTCAAACTATGTCAAGAATTTAGAGTGCAAACCACACAAGAGGAAATATCTCATGGAAAAACTCTAAAAGAATATTAAACAAAAAAAAAAAAAGGGATGTCCCACTTAAAGCTTCAAGCACACTGTTACCAGCAGTGCATGAAGCCCAGAATAGTCTCGACAGCTTCTGGAGTAGGGACACAAAGTGGTGTTTGCCATGTTGATACTAGCTGCAGCCTTTCCCTGGGGAAAAGAAGACATGGCTTTGAACTGAGTGGAAGTATCTTCAGATAAACATAGTCAGAGCTCAACTTCTTCAGACATAGCCCAAAGGCAGTTAGGTATAGACTGCAAGTTCCTGGCTACTGACTTTGATCCACAAAGACCACCCAGCTACTGGAGGAAGGTTCAGAAAGACCCAGCATGTAACAGTGTTTCACTGTAAAACAGCATAAGCAAGATGCTATTTCTCCAAAGCAACCATTGCTCCTAAGAGCCACAGCACACTAGGAGCTGTTCCTCCTGGCACAGCTGGCACGCCAGCAGAGCCTAAGATGAAGCAGCCAGGGGTAAGGGAGATCAAGAGGTACAGTCTGCATTTTTAGGAAAAGCTAAAGTTTTACCACCATGTATTGTCCAGCTTGGACAACTGGCTAGGAATTTATGACAGCAATGCTATCAGCTCTCTTCTATATAGAGGCCATATATCCACAAGAAACATACTTATGCGGCTGCTGCTGGAACTGAGCTATTGGGGCAGAACCTGAGCATGAACTCCAGAAACCTTAATCAACCACAAGTTGAAAATGTTCCTGTCAAACAAAGGAAAAAGGAGACAGAATTCAGACATTTTTCAGCAAGACTGCTGCGGGTTGGTATGGCTGGGAAGAGCTGCACAGTTTTCATGGGGTACCAAAAAGAAAAAGCAATAGGTCACAGAAAAGTAAACTATTGAGCAATCCTTAGATAACTGCCACTGAGCAATCCACTTAGATAACTGCTACACTCAGAGTTTGTCTGGTTGAAGCTGCTTCAGGCAGTCTGCCTAGAGCAGAGCCACATAATCTGATTGAGCATGATTATAAGTTTATCACAGAATGGTGGGGGTTGGAAGGGACCTCTGGATTTCATCTAGTCCAACCCTCACGAGGAGGCACATCTAGAGCAGGTTGCACAGGATCATGTCCAGGTAGGTTTGAACATCTCCAGAGAAGGACACTCCACAACCTCTCTGGGCAGCCTGTTCCAGAGCTCTGGCACCCTCACAGTAAAGAAATTTTTCCTCATGTTTAAGTGGAACCTCCTGTGTTCCAGTTTGTGCCCATTGCCTCTTGTCCTATCACTGATCACCACTGAAAAGAGTCTGGCCCCATCCTCTTGACACCCACCCTCTAGATATTTATAAACATTGATAAGTTCCACTCTCAGTCTTCTCTTCTCCAGGCTAAACAGACCCAGGTGTCTGCCTTTCCTCCTAAGAGAGGTGCTCCAGTCTCTTCATCATCTTTGTAGCCCTCCAATAGACTCTCTCCAGAAGTTCCCTATCTCTCTTGAACTGGGGGACCCAGAACTGGACGACCCAGAACTGGACACAGTATTCCAGATGCAGCCTCACCAGGGCAGAGAAGAGGGAGAAATGTCTTGTGTTTAGTCACAAGAAACTAATCAATGCTCAGACACTCGTCTTTTAGAAGCTGACTTTAGAATGGTATGGCTCACTGACCCATATCCACATTGTCAAATGACAGCCAGCCTGTAGAAAGATGACCCTGAGGTTTACAGGCCGAGTTCCCTCAGCTACGGCAGCATACACCCAGTTGGCCACACTAAGTTTAAAGAGGTTTATCTTTAGAAGACTGGCAAGGGCTGTGCTTCCAAGAAGCCCTGAAGTTTTAAACAGCCTCTTGTTGCTAGCAGGGGGTGTAAAGATTGATGAATATGAAGCATTGTAAAGTAGCCTGAAGGAGTCCAAGCCATCTCTATGTATCAATGCTTCTGAAAGGCCTGGTTTCCTTTGTGTGCAGTATACAGCAAGTTATAGTTTAAGAGAGCTACTCAAACACCAACATGACCTGAAGTCCACACATTTCATGTCAACACCCATTCCAAGAACAGTCCCACTGAGTCAAATATTTTTCTCTAGTGCTCTGGATGAAGAGCTCCAGGTGATGAGTAAAATTTGTGATAGGTCTGTGCCCAAAACCCATTTGTCATTTTACATCCCACACAAAGTCTTGCCATACAACAGCTTGTTGTATCAGACATCTTTATTTGCCGTATTGCCCCAGTGTACAAATACTGAACGCAGTTATAGAAATTCAAAATATATTGTAGTATAAATCTGTCTGGGAAGTGGAATGTTAAGATATTTACTTTATAAAATTATTATACTTATATAAGTCACTCCCACTTGCAAGTTTTAAATATATCAGGGCTATGAAGAGACAGATTACTTTTATGATCCTGCAAAATAGGAGTTCTTCTCAGAAAACATTTTCTGCTAGATGAAGTCAGTCAACAGCAAACCGATTTCTTACATGTGACCCATTTTGAGTTATCAGCCAACAGGATGTTAGCTACATCCAAACAATTCATACACAATTTGGCTCTCATTTATACCAAGAAAGTCAATGTATCACTATCGACATATTTATGTATTAGTCAAACAGAATCTCAGTGACAATATTTATTTTAAGCTAATGAAGTCAAGCCAATAAGTTGCCCCTGGCCATTGAGTGCAATTGATGCTTTTTTCACATTTTCAGAATAAGGCGTCTTAGTTCTTGAACAAGTCAATACAGCTTTGCAGGAGAGAGACATTGTTCTGGAAAGGAAGAGAATTAGTTTCAGATGAGTATGACTGATAGTTTAAATCCTGCTTTCCACAATTCAGTGGCTTCCAAACTAGTAGGTCCATCCCAGGATTTTGTAGCCTGCAACAACGCTAAAGAGCTTATACTGCAAAGACAAGCGTTCAAGCAGTAAACCATCAAAACCAGATAGATCATACAGCCTGCAATCTGCCTCTTCCTCTAGGCCTGCACCATGTGGGAAAGAAAGGGGCAACAGACAGAGCAGTAAGTTTTTAAAGTAGGCCAAACTGAGCAGCATTGTTAAGCCTTTCATATGTAACATTCAAGCTCAGCAATGAGGTAGCTACCTGTGATGGAAGTCCAGGACACTCGAATTTCCCACTCCCTGACTTTCCTTCTTCAATAGAAGCTGAGGATGCACAGTTACCTCCTCCTGAGGCTTCTTGCTTTGCTCTCCACACTAAATTAGCAGACCCATTAATCTGTGTGCACTTTCCTGGATTAAGCTGGCAGTATGTGCTGTGGTCTCCACAACCTCTTCAACCCTGCTCAGTAAATCCTGGCAGAGTCTGCTACAAAGCCAGCGTCCCCCTTCACTGACAAGCCAAGCGAGAGGCTGACAGCTAGATCACAAGCTGCAGGATGTGCTCTCACAGCGCTCACAACGCTTGTGGCAACAGCTGCCTCTAGAAGCAGGAGTCAAACCCCACAGATGAGGCTGCCTCTAGAAGCAGGAGTCAAACCCCACAGATGAGGCTGCCTCATGGGAAGTTAGGTGAGCTGTTTTGTGCTACCTGCAAAGTTTCACTTGCAGTGCAATAGGCTGGTGTCCTATGAGTGACAAGTTGAAAACAGGTTTTCTGCACGTGACAGATAAGACTGGCAGCATTTGTCCTTTACATGCACTACACCTACAGCTTTTCACTTCCTTTTTTCCCTTCAGATCTCAGCTAAAGAGCCTGGCTGTTCTATTTTACACTTCCTCGTTTTAAAGGGAACCCAGCAAATCCTTCAAGTTACATACTACTCCTCTCAAGCTATGCCTGTTAAATTCCAACAAGAACACACCTTTGCGTGTTTTATTTCCAGTTCTGCCATTTCAATTAGGTTTTTGCGGAACGCTGCTATTCTCTTCTGTTTGAAGCTCAACAGTTCTGTGGAGAAGAACAAACAAACAAAGATAAGACAGATGTACAAAGTGTGACTGAGGTTTCAGTAATGCCCCTTATGTTTCCTGAGTTCTGTTGTGCAGCTATAGTTACAGTATTTGACCACAAAAAAAGTTTGTTGGCTTTTTTTAGTCAACAAGTCTTAAAAAAAGACTTTTGTTAAGTCTTGCTGTTTCTAGCCAGAAGATGCATTCATGACATGACACTGACATCCTGGTGAGGAAACAGCTAGCTTGCCTTAAGACAGAAAGGTTTTGTAGGAAGACAACTGGAATAAAACACAAGTAAGCCACAGAATATTTTAAAAACAAGAACATTAAAGGAGTAGTGTGTGTACAATGAAAGCATGTTTCCTCCATCTTATATCGTTTAAAGGCATCTACTAAGAACCAGTGTTAGAAAAACTCTGTATGAAGCACTCAGCTGTACTGGGACAGAGCAAAAGCCTGTTTGCACAGTTCTAAATTGAGATAATCAGAAGCCTGAGTAGTTACCTTCAGGCAGAAGATGAGAGTTCAGTCTGGAAAGCAAATAACAGGGGCTTATAATTAAAGTTGGTGTAGTACTGACATTGCTCTGCTTCAGACAATCATTCTTAAAAATATTTAGCTCCATTAATTTTACAGACATCTATACTGCCTTGGGATGTCCAGACTACTTGCTTTGGGGGAGTGCTCAGAAGCCTTCTGTAGTTGAAGGTCAGATGGAAACCTGGACTGCATTAAGATCTCCCTTCAGCATAAATACAGCAAAGTGTTTTACCTTGTTTTGCAGATTCTGAAATCTTTTCAAACTTCTGACAACAATCCTGTTGATGTGCCTCAGCCAGCCTGACATCTTTGCTCTTTAGTCTGGCTTTATCTAGAGCTTTGTTTGAGTTTTCATAGTCAACAAGAGCCCTTGTACGTCTGTACAGAAGATCCTGAAAGCAGACAGGAATAGTGCATCAAAGCCCTAAGAGGATTACTTCTGAAACTGAGGTTACAACTACCTCAGCAGCAGGAGGTTTCACTTCCTTCAGCACCAGATTCTGCTTCTTCTAACAAGCTATTATAACCTGCTATGCTCTCAGCACAGCAACAGGAGCCTTTCACCACTGCAGTATCAAGTATTCAGAACAGCCACTTGTGCCTTAGTCAAGAAAGTCCAAGGACTACTGTAGGCATTGCTTCTTCCCTTAAAGTACCTTCACCCTTCTGTAAGGTGGGCCTCTCCACTAAGGAGTAACAGCACCTTCTGAATTCCCTCAGTCTGCTTCCAGTAATGGATATGCTATCATTTAATTAACTGGAAATCCGGCAGTTTGACTGAAGCACTGCACTAACCTAGACATGAGAAGCAGTACAGGTCTCACTGCCAATTCCCTTTTGATCTAGCAGCAGTATAGTCTTGATATCTAAAGAGTAGTACAACACAGAGGGAGTCTGCAGCAAATGTTCCAGGGTACGTGACATTAGGGGTATGACACTAGATGAACAGGCCCACCAGGTTATATCTAGACACCATTTCTCAGCATCGTCACTTCCTTGCCAAGTCAAGTGCTGGTTAGAAAAGAGGTGCTGGCATGGCTTTTGTAGTCACATCAATTTACCAAACCACTCCTGGAAGTCCAGACTCCAATAGCCTTCACATGTTCCCACATATTCATGATAAAATACTTTGGCAGTTGTGATTTACTTCAGGTTTTTTAATTATTTATCATTGGTTTTACTGAGTCACATGTACCCAGGCAGCAGAAGGGTTAGAATGCTGCTGCAGACTCAAATTCAGTTTGCTCCAGCTTACAGAAATCTGGTGAGTTCTTCCTCTCTACATGCTGAAGAAGAGCCAGCTGAAGATCTTAAACAGCCCTTCTGTAAGTGGGCTGGACTGCAGCTAGCCAATATATAGTTTCTATATTCTGCTGTGGTTTAGGAGTGCCAGGTTTCTTAGGCAAAACAAGGGTCCACCTTCCTGTCTTCTTAAAGCACAAAGAATACCCCAAGTGAGTCATGATGCCCATAATAAAACTAATCTTCAAAAAGAAAACCATTCTTACCTTAGCAGCTTCTATATTGAGCATGTAGTATCTCAATAGTTCAGAGAGCTTTAAGTCTTCATCAGATGAAACTCTACTCTCTACCTTCTGCAGAAAAGATCAGATGGTTGGTATGTAACAAGAAACAGTAACATCCAGATTCAGATATTCTTTTTTCCACCCAAAGCTTCTCTTACCCTGAGTTTCTCAAAGAGCTCAGCAACTTTCAACAAGTACCTAGGGAGGGGAAAGAAAAAACACAAATACATTTTAGATACTTTTTAGCCTGATAAATGCCAGGAGCATCTGACAGGAAATCAAAAAGCTGAAGGCTACGGTTTAACCATCCATACAGACCCAAACAGCAGCTTGAAAAACTCAGGTCTAGGCAAAGACCTGGACAAAAGGTTCAACGCAAGAGGTTCTGATTCCAGCCTAACAGACTAGTACAGTTAGGCAGCTAGACACCATTTAAAGCAACACTGATCTCTAGATCAGAATGATCTTGTGGACAATTTCCCCACTGCTACTCTCCAAGAGAGATGAACTCTTTATTCAGCTGTATACTCTGTTTTAACAAGGTCTTGGTAAATTTACAGCAAAGTTTAGAGAGGTGGAAGAATTCACCCCAGGAAAGGTGACTAAGCTTCCATAGCTTAATAACAACCCTATTATTCTGGAACTTCAAAGGACCAAAAGATAATATAGGTCTAGTGTAAGCTGTGGTTGTATTTAACAGCACATTAGATCACAGATGCATAATCCCTTTCCCCTATATTCTCTGGGAGTTTGTGACCTGAAAAAAATGCAAGGAGACTTCTGTTTAGAAGGAGCTTTGATGACCAGCACTGTTCAGCTCTAGGGCACAAAAGGCAAATGTCAGCCAGTTAAGAGTCAGATGCAATTGATAATTTTAGGTCTGTCACACCAGGAGCTTCAGAGGAAAGAGAGGAAATAAAGTTTCAGTGCTACTTGCTTGAAAGTCAAGAAACTCTAAACAGCTATAACCCAATCCCCTGGATTTTACAGAAGGAACTTGATACTCCCAGACAGTGCATCAACAGTTAGGATTGCTTACTTTTTGATAACTGTAGGTTCTTCTAATGCCAGGCTGTTCAAGCAAGCTGAAGTATAAATATAGTCATCTGCAACATCTGCAAGAACAAGACAAGGTTTTCAGGCTGAAATCAGCAAGACTGCAAGGTCTTTAGAAAGGTCTTTGAAAAGATTCACTTTTATGAGATCGTGTCATCTTATCTGCTTTTGCACATGCATCCTTGATTCTGTTGTAGTAGTTTACAAGAAAAGTCTTCTCTTGCTCAAAAAAGTCTTCTACTTCCTGAAAGAGAGCACAACCTGTTAAGTCGGTTACATTGCTGCAGAACACAAGCTCTTCCCCTTTTTAGGAAGGGCCAAAGAAATAACCATGGCCACCTGAGCATTATGCCCATCAATCCCTACTGAAGAGCAGAATTTGAGACAAGGGTTTGACAAACCAAGCCATTTAGCAAGTTCCTTCTTCATGATAAAGTGAAGATGGACTCGACACTCAGTTATTCAATGCTGCAAGTTGTCTGAAGCAACCAGTAAGTTGCTATCAGAGGGCTACCAACTGTTGGTATTTTACTTCCCAGGCCTACTGCAACACAGCAGCTGAGCAGTAAGCACCTTACAAGCTTGCTTCATGTCCACATCAAACATTATATGTACTGTAATGTTTCATGACATTGAGTTTAGGACAGCAAGTCTATTAGAAAGAGCTACCATGGCAACATCATAGAAGAGCTGAAGCTGGACCAGTTACAAGTCTTTGGTATTTGATCTCATCTAGTGCAAGCAGAAACCCATAAGTGATGATTGTTCAGAGCTCCCAAGTAGACAAAAGCCACAAGCACATTTGCTGAAGGTGTAATTCCTTCCTCCTCACCAGTATCAGGTGTTAATGCAACTCTTGTGCATACATTAGAAAATTTAAATATACACTTAAATTTTTAACAGCCTATAGCTTCAACACCTTATTTCTATAGAAGTCAAAATTAACACAGGCTACTCCACCCAATTTGGGACAGCAGTAATAAGAAAGGTTAGCATTAGTGACTGAACTTCACACACACCAAGCCTGAAGCAGACATAACTAACATCCCTGAAGCAGGAAGCAAGAAATAATCAAGGTTAGGCTAAGTAAGAGGTAAACCAACTACCTTACCTTGACTCCAGAAAAGAGGACTTCATCAGCACTCTTTACCATACTTTTTAAAAAGCCACCAAACATCTCTTTTGTGTTTTTCCTCCGAACACTCAACTGCAACAGAGAGGCCAAGACCACTTGAAAGTTATCACAAGATGGGGAAAAAAGCAAGTATTTTGACACTTACAGTGTTGTAACATCATTTATATCCAGCACATGATGGAGCAGGCTGATTTTCAATACCTATATAAGCCATACAAAGATGGCTCATGCAACCAGTGGCTTGACTCAAACTTGTTCAACTATTCTGTGCCACAGATTTTCCCCCATTCCCAGAAATAGCTCAGTTTCTTCTTATGTATCTTGGATCAGCATCCATCACTCAATTACTTGTAACAAAACAGATGCACCTCCATTCTCCTATTTTAGGACCATGCAACACACAGCACAGGTACACCTGAACCATGCTTGTTCCCAAGATGTCACAACATACAAAGTTGGCTTCCTAACCACCTTGACTAGGATGAAAAAACTATGAGATTTACAGCAGAAAAAGATCTAAAGGTCAGGCTTTCATCCTTTAATCATCTCACAGAAGTACTGGCAATATCTGCCTGCTGACACTGCACATAGATTTACATAACATTCTGACTGTGCCCAGAAAAGTGACAGCACTCCTAACACTTTGCCTCACTCTGAAAGGATTTTAAAAAAAAAGTGTCTTACATCCTGGTCATACTCCAAGAAAACATGAAAATTGCGATCTTTGCTGAGCACAGGATGAGAAGAAATCCGCTGAAGGAAGATTTCATGTGATGATACAGTCTTCTTGAAGACAGCGAGGTATTCACTGAAAGGAAAGAACAGATTGAGATCCTCTCTTGCAATGCCTTCCTCAATATACAAAGAAATTATTTAAGTTTATCCAGTGAAAATATTCAACAGCATGCTTCTTAAAAGGCAGCTAGTGAGAGAGAAGTTATTTTCAACCTCTCTAGCTAGGAAGTTCCCCAGTTTGAGAGGAACTTTTGGCAACACCCCAGCTCCAGGATTTTAAAGATTATGCAGCAGTAGACACCTTCAAAACAGTCACAGTCAAGACCAGTTACCACCAAAGAGGTTGCTCTCCCAGGAGGCTTCTCCAAGTGCAGCTTTTGGCAGTAGATTCATTCTACTTACGCTTCTAGCTCTTGCTTCATTTTGGCAAACTCTTCTTTTGTCATAGACATTTCTCCTTCCCCTAGCTTCTGCATCTTCTCTCTGGGACCATCAAAGTCAGGCTTTGAAGGTGCTGGAGGTATCTAGCCAAGGAATTGGTTAGTGATAGATGCTAGCAAATAAAGTTTTCCAAAATCACTTCTAGCCTTCTCTGGAAGGAGGCCCTTTTGCCTGGTCATGGCAAGCCAGCAAGGCTCTGCACCCAGGAATTGTACAGGTATGTTGATGTCTAGTAGTTTGCCCCTCCCAGCTCTGTGCTACTTCTGGCCCAGGAGGGAAACCAACCAAGAGGAACAGGCTCTATAATCTACCCCATAGTCAGCTACCTTCTGTGGGCCAGAGAGACTCCTGAAGAATCACAATGGAAAAGAAAGACTATTTAATAGAGGATTTCACTGTGTTATCTTCAGGTAGATATTAATGCCACCATAGAGTTGGGAACTCAGAGCATTGAGCTTTTTTTGCTGCTCCAAGCTGTATGGAAAGTTAACATAGAGCCATACCACTCAAGTTGTTTGGGAATTAAGGAAAAAGGAAGCATAGGGAACACTTAAGTCATGAAACACTATCAACACTGGTAAAGCAGACTTCATGCCCTTACTAGCATGCACTTAAAGCCACCTCAGTCTTTTGTTTAGAGTTACATTTTTTAGGATGTACTTACAATGAGTCCTGCATACTCCTCAGTTTCAGTGAGTGTATCGTGCAGCCACACAAAGTCTTCATGCTGCCTTGTAACTGAAAACTCAGGGCTTTGAAAAGCTGGCAGCGTAGTCTGGAAGAGAAGATATAGAAGCCCTACTGTTTCTTGAATTAGTGCTTTTAGAAACAGTTCTGTCCCTTTCCAAAGGAAGCTATTTTGCCTAGTAAGAGCCTCGCCCACTCCCTTTTAGCTGAGCTGGCACTCATTCGAGAGCCTTACTACTAAGGAGACTATTTAAAGGAAAGGCACTGTTGTGGAACAGCATTAATGCAGTTTATTTTGTGAAGTTTCACAGTAGCTGGTTTCCCTACCCCTACCTCCCAGCATTCTGGTGTCAAGCCAGGATTCTTCAGCAAAGCCAATCTAGTGTATCAGCTACCTTGTCTCTATTTAGAGAGTGTTCAAGTCTTCAGAAACCTAAACTTTCTGCACACTTATATCTCTCTCCCCCCTCAGGTCACCTTTAAGTGGAAAAAGCTCCATCTAATTAGATTTCCTTCATTGTCAAGCCCATCTTTACAGGTATGAGTATTGCAAATACGCAAGTTACTTGCATAACATTTATGAAGACCACTTTCTACTCCATGATCTTACCTTAGTATGCACAGTGAACTTCACTCTGTCCTTTTCACTTAGAGCATCAGGTATATCAATTTGGAGAGAAGGATCAACATTCAGGTCTACAGATACAGACCTCAGCTGCAACAGAATTCACAGTATAAGCCTTGGTCAAGCATCAGGTAGGTTTAGTGAAATTAGACTGGTCATCAGCTGGCAACAAGAACCACACTGCACTAAATCACTGTCTCCAGGAACAGCATGTATGGACAAGCTTGACAGCCTTGACACTACCTGCACATCACTTTGACAAGTGTTCCCTTCACAGAATCACGGAATGTTAGGGATTGGAAGGGACCTTGAAACACAGGAAAGAAAAAAGGCTTGTTAGCTTAAACTCTGAAGAACCAATTGTTAAGAGTGCACACTAGTGGTATTTGAGAAGTCTTCTCTTGAAAGAAGCATCCTCCTTCTAGTACTTCTCCAGCTTGTTTACTTGGAGCACATGAAGCCACAGCCTACTATGCCACTTTGAACACAGCAACAACCCTGGTAGTTCTTAACTCATTACCCTGTGCCTCCACAGTATGTGGCAGAACAGCTGACCTTGGGGAAAAGTGGAGCATGTAACCTCTTTAGGCTGCCAGAAAGCCTAACAGCCCACCATCAGAAACAGGACCAGAACCCAACAACGCTGTCACTAACACTGCACCTGTTTAATCTTGTTTCCTGGATACCTGGCATCATGTTATTAACTGCTGCTAATCTGCACATCTGCTGTTAGAGAAAGCCCCAGTAAGCTAGTACAAGAACTAGCTTCAAAGATAGCTGGATTTTGCTTTACAAAAAGCAATTTATTGCTTGTAACTGCAAGTCTCTTCCTCTCCTAAATCCAGGTCTTGTCTTATCCTTTCTAGACAGAGCTTTGCATCTGGCAACATTTTAATGCTATTTGTTTCCACTTAGAGCAGCTCAGAAGAGGTTTCTGGGCATGCTGGGAACCCTTTACAGGAGACCTCAGAGCAGACCAGACTTGCCTTCCCAGTGCTTCAGACAAGCCTTAAACAAAGCCAGCACCTTCCTTTGGGGACTTATTTCTTCATTACAACAGCTTACACCCAGAATACAGTTTCAACCATACTTAAACTTTTCTAGAGCAGCAAAATAGCCTTCTCAGTGGTGTATAACCTCCAGCATCTTCAACTAACACCCTCAAGTCAGAGTCCTACTGAAATTCCTTACAAGGACAGCGCTTTCTAACTCAGAGTAGATGAGGCTTTGATGCTCAGCATGCCATCCTGCTCTGGAAAGCCAGGGATAGCAGCCAGGCTGAACTCATGAGCAGTAAAGATTCAGCACAGCCACCAGCCCATTTCACTCTCTAGTTTAGAATTTGAACTTTGTTTATCCAAGCTGTACTTCACTGCTTGTACCCAACCCTTGAAGATAAATGGCTTCAATTCCCTACAGGACCTCAGAAACAAGCAAAAACCATTCAGGCCTATCCAGCATAGACTGCTAAGATTAGTGCACACATGCAGTTCTTACATCAAGTAGAATCACGTATTTAGATACCAAGGAATCAACTTTTACAAGCTATTAGACACCAGTGATCACCAGCTTCAGTAATCTGTATTCCAGAAGCATGCAGGAACCTTAACCTATCACACTATGGTGGTTCCTGTGCTATGAAACCTCTCTCCTAAGAGGCCATCCCTTCAGTGCTGCAGCCTAACACATCATTCTTATTCTCTGCATAAGGGAGAAACTGCCAGAGACCAAGGTCACAACACAGGAAGTTTGCTGAAGAGTGACCGTCAGAGCCAGGCTGAATCCCGAGGTTATCATTTCTAGAGATAATTCTGAATGCCTTCCCAGGAAAGCAAGCTAGAGAACTGGGCCACAACTGATGTTGTTTCACCACCCTGCAGCATACTAGTGCACAGACCCCACCAGCCAAGAGCTTGCCCTCACCACCTGCCAAGCACAGCAAGTTTCAGCACCAAAGCCCACAAGCAAATGGTGCCAGCCAGCACCTGAGCAATCCTGTCACATCACAGATAGCTTGAGCATCGCCTGGAGCTTCTGTAAAGCTGCAGAAGACCTGGTGAGAGGCTGCCCTTTATAAGGTGAAGAAGCTTTGCTTCCAAAAGCTTGGGAAACTTCCTCCCCCGAGTCTGGCCATCTGTGTGCTGCAGTGCAGATCTGGTAGATGACAAGTCTCTGTGGCTGCCTGCAGAGGACACAGCTGTCAGGCTTGCAAGCATTTGCCTCTCTGTCCAGCCTGCCCCTGCCTAGACTCCCACTCATGGTCACTGCTATCAGCTGTGATCAGGCTCTCACACATAGGCAAAGGACAGCCCAGTCACTGTACCCTCATCCTTCCAGCCATATTAAAAAGACTTCTATCTGCTGCCTGCTACCTCAGCTAGAGCCAAAAGGAGGTACTTTAGCTAAGAGATACACCTTTTTAAGCCTTGTGACTATGGAAAGACATTGTATGCAATACACTGAGCTTCCCATTCTGACTTTGGGAGGACAGAAGGTTTTTATCCCACCCTGGGATCCCATCCCTTGCCTTGGCAGCAAGCAAGATGCATTGAGCTTACAGAGCATGCCCTGGAACACAGCTCTTAGCAGTCCCAGCACTTCTTATGTGCAAATGGACATGGTGGGGATCCAAACACTACAGGGTCTCAAACAGGACAGTTGCTTCTCTCCAGCCACCTTGTGGGACAGATTATCATCTACAGGCATGTGACTCTGGGACTTACTAGGAAGGCACAGACCAAACAGCACATAGGTGTGTGATTCAGAAGTCACTGACACCGGTCTAGGCAGAAGCTGCCCCATCCAAGCACCAGGGGAAAGACAGGTAGAAGGCCACCATCCAGACATTAGTTTCACTGGGAGCACAGCTGACTGCTGCCAACTGAACAAAAGGCAAGTTGGTCAGTGTTTCCCAGCCAGATAACACCAGCAGCCAAAGCAGTGAGATGCAGACCCCAGTGTTTTCCATCCTGCTTACTTATCTTTACTGTCCAAACAGGATCAGCAGCGCTAACAATACGAACTGCTGAGTCTGGAAAGTATGATAAGCCAAAGGAAACTGCTTCCTCTCAGCTAAACTAAGGAAAGGATTACACAAATCAGCCAGTCCTGAATTGGTGAACTTTCTTACTAAGTGTTGTGGAGAAAGTAACCTGTGATGAGATGTTGTCCATGCACTCCTCCATTCCTAGTAGCTGCCTGCACAAGAGATGAGCAGGTACAGACACAAGATGGTATTGCTCTGTCAGATTAAAGCAGTTCACCTGTCACGGGTGTTTCTCCCCTGCACTAGCACCATAAACTGCAGAGGCACTAGGGCAAGAACACACAACCCACAGCTTCACCAATCCCCAGGAATGCTGCTGCAGGAGAGCTCGCTGCCCCAGCAGGGCCTTATTTACACAGAAGCACCTGGGAGTCAGCAGCAGTGCTGAGCTGTGTGCACTACAGGGCCCAAAGTCTGAGACCCATCCAGAAACAGGACAAGAGTCAAGAACACCCCCACATACAGTGGCAGGATTCTGCCCTTCAGGACTACACAAAGCCACTTGGTAAAGAAATCTTGTACCTTTCCTATCCTAAATATCTGCTGTAAATGTACATGATGCAGCCTATATCTAAAGGCCGCTGCAGGCTCAAACATCAAGCATAGCACTGTTTGAAGACAGCACAGGATTATCAGTTCTACCCTTCAGGAGTCTGGTCTTCAGTGAAGGACCTGGAGGCACATGAAACAGAGGATTATAAAACCCCTGGTCTGTTCTAGTCCTGTGAAGGTCACTGTGGGCTCCTAACTCCAGGCCAGAGACCTTTAGGATTACACAATCGCAGCAGCAAGGCTCAGACTACAAAGAGAGCACTCACACTGCCCGAATCCAGGAGGACAGAGTGCTTTGCTGCCCTGCACAAAGTGCTGGGCCAGCATTTCTGCTATGAACTGGAAGCAAGAAGCCCCCCTTCTTGTTATCACAGCTCTATAGGCATTAACCCAGTGCACCTAGAGTAGATGTTCCACACCAACCCTTGACCAACACAAGCACCTGCTCCTGCAGCACTAGCAGCTCATCATTCAGGACCTTTCATTCCACCACCCTTCCTACACCCATCCCACAAGGAGGAATGAGGTCAAACTTGCTTATGGTCACATGAAGGCTGCGCAGAGGCAGAAGAATTAAACTTTCATCTTCAGCCCCCAGGCTTGTTCCTTTATCACAGCAGGCACCCAACCCAAGACCTTCCCAGGAAATACTCCATCTTAGCTCTCTGGCCTGTGGAACCTGGCAGCTCCTTTGAATCTGGAGGTATTTCTCTGCTAGGATGTCACTGCTTCCTCCCTGCATTCAAGGCAGTGAGCAAGAGAACTCAAGTTTTCCTATCCCAGTTACAGAAACGAGTCTGTCCCCCAACACCTTCAGGGATGGGAGGGGATATAATCCAAGCTCAGCAGCTGGTGAGAGATAATTGCTTATTTGCAGCACATGCCCAAAGAGGTAGAGAGGACAGTGACTCCTGGAGCAGCACAGTGGGGAAGCAGCTGGGCTGGCCTGCAAATAAACACTCACCCAAACCCAGCGGGTGCCACCACTTTCACCTCTCATTTCCCTTTCTCAGAAACAGCTCAGAGGGTTCTGGTTTGCAGTGGCTACAGCAACTGTTACAGCTGCTCTGCTCTCTGCTCATGCCTTCCACTTCTAAGCTCACATCTCTTCAGTGACTGGTATCTGGATCCCTGGGGTTTCTGGAGGATTCAATAAAAACTTTTCCCTGTTCAGTAAAGACACTGTCCACCACAACTGTCTGACGTGGAAATTCATCAAGCAGAGCCCTCCAGAATAACAGTCATTATATTGATTAATATTTCTAGGCTTCAGGACCAGAAGACTAAAAATATATATTATGCTACTAATTAGGACACTAAGTAATCACCTGATGTGGAAGCCCAAGAGAAGAGACAGTAGAGAGCATTACTGTGACCAATCCAGGTAGAGTTTTACAGGACTCACTCAGAGATGTTAAAAAAAAAGCGCTCAATGATTTAAGTACAACCCAGTGATGACCAACAGCTACCCAGGCTTCAGCGTGAC